CTGCAGCCTTGCTGGGCTGAAAACTCCACCAGCTCGCTTCCGGGACCAACGCTTACTCAACCAGACTCCACATCACGTGATACCATAAACCTATCATCTGTAAACTCAAGCCATAACACAATTAGTGAAATAGAAGGGAATTTCGTTTTTCGCTTTAGTTATTAGTTGTGGCTGTGTGTCAGGATTGGCGACTTTGTTTGTAGGACACGGGTTTTAACAGGATGTAATTGACGCGGGACAGAGTCGGGGTATAAAGTAAAGCTTATAATAACTGGATCAATTTAAAATTTAGAATAATTAAAAGACAAAAATCTAAGGAACAAATCCAATCCTAGACCCTCCTTAAGTACTCAAGAGCAGCTACTAAAATCAAGGATATGATAGTCTACAGCTATAACATAGCAACTGATTGCTATTTTGATTAGTGATTGTTGCTATTACAACATTGTAACCATCACAACGCATTGACCATGTTACTAGAGAAGCTCCTGACTTGGTTGACAAGACAAAACACAGCATCTCAGTATTGGCCTATAGTACATTGGTAGTAACAAGCAAGCTTTTGTCCTCGTGGGAAAGTCGGTCTATGATATTGTGTTACTCATTAATTTTGCATTGTCTCGCCTGGGGTACTGATGAATTCTGGGGCCTTGCCCTTCTTTTCCGATTCCGCTAGCGCAACTTTAAAGTCTCGATGTCTGCGTTCTCGGGCTATCCTTGGTTCCGCTGGTGTGCTGGTGTAGAGTATCTCGTTCTGGCACCTAGGTCGGGCCATGCAGTGCAGGTTACTCGGTTCGTGAGGTCCTGTATAATTTTCACATTTAGGTACCCTGATCTGACATTCTGCTGTTTCGTGCACTCCAGTGCATTGTCCACATCTTTGTCCTTTGGTGCATGACCGTGTGCTGTTAAAACCTCAGCACCTCTAATATTATTCAGTAGAACGTCGGCGTACGAACAGAATTGCCGGTCCACTCTTGTCGAAGAGTCTGAACCTGAGGTTTTCTGGTTTCTTTTTGAAGTGGATGATCTAACTTGTAGAATATTGTCCAATCTTATGCTGGTTTGGTCGTACCTGCACCAATGTGATACCGCACGAGCTTGGCATTCCGTTGTTGCTATTTTCTTCGTGACTGAAATGCTACCCTCTAGCTTCCTGATGTATAATGGTATATGCGGTACTTTGACTGAAGTCCAGTCCAATTCTGCTTTAATGCAGATGTTTTCTTGCTGAAATGAGCCTAAAACTCCCAGTATTTATTCTAGGAGCCCGTTCAATGCGCACTCTAGTGCTAGATCCGACCGAACTCTAGTTATTGAAATTATGGCTGATGCAGTGACTCTGGCTCTCTCAGTAACCAGCTTCTTTGTTGTGGCTGGTAAAAATCTGTGCCTATCGTGTTCTTGCTCCAACCAGACGAAAAGCTGCTTATCTTCTTTTGGAGGGTGTTGTGTGCCAAAATTTGCTTGTGCAGTAGGCCTTCGTGCAGTTGGAATTTCATGTGGATCCAGAAGCTTTGCTAATTTATGGGCTACCGTGACCCACGAAGAAGCATTCTACTGTGGCTTTGTGGGCAGTTAATGGTGAGTTATTTCCGTTGATTTTGTTGCCCTAGATACAGAGGTTATTATCTGAATTGGTTTTGGCATGGGGATCTTGCCCTGAGAATTTGTGCCATCGATATTACCTATTGCAAAAGCTGTTACAATTGGCGAGATTTTTTGGATGAAAGGCACAATTAAGGCGACACCTTCTGCTCCTGCCTTGGACCTCGCCCAAGCGTCGATATTTTGCAGGAACTCTTGAGCTAGGCTCATTCGCTGCTTCTATCTCCGTTCTAATTGATCCATTGCGGCTGCAATCCCAGGAAGGCTCAGGCGTAAGTGATCGCCTGGGTCGATAGACGCCGACAACTTTTGGATGTACGCAGCCATATTGCTGTTTTATTCTACGGTAATTGCGTTAGTGTGATAGATACGATCTAACAGATAATATGAGTTCAAGACATCGAGTTGGACCCGATGTTCTACAGGGTGATAGTTGAAGTCACCTGACACTGCATTTCATCTCGGGCTCCTGTTATGATGTTCAATAACAGAGTAGTTGATATCAGGCCACCCGCTCAGGTCATGGGGACTTTGACTTGCGCCACAAATGTTTCAAATACGTAAATGCACACAATCACTGCAGCTGTAAACGATTGAAATCTACCAGACATGTACTACAACATAATCTGCAACTCCAGAAACTTGCAAGAACTCCCAGGGCATTCCCTAATAAATTTTTGTGTCTTTTCAGTACAGTCAAAGGAGCTGCTAAAACTACCAAGTGGCTTGTGGATACAAGATTCCTGACGGAAAAATGGTCCAAATCTCCCCCAAAGACTACATAATCACCCTAGAAATTTTCTAATAACTTACACACAAGAAATCATCAGCAGGGTGTACAGGACTGTGTCCCCTTTTCTTTTAAAGCTCAGAGTAGCAGCAAAGACTCAATCTTCTGTCTAATCTTTTGTAACTTCAGTTTATGCTGTAGATTTGCGTTTTCCTGGCTTGCAGATGTTGAATAAATGCAGCCTCTGACAACATGTCCCTCAGGCCTTTCTTTGTTTGGTTTGGTTTGTTCATTAACTTGCTAGGTAAGGTGACTACCGTTGCACTCTTATTGGAGCTTGAGCACGGGTGGGGCCGGGCTGGATCAGGTTAACTACCATTAAGTACATCTACCTCGTCCCACCTAAATGACCGGACCACCTCAGACTTCACCCATGTGTTGAATCATGTCGAGCCCAACCATCCAGAGAACCCCCTTTTGACGCGCCGAAGCGCAAATTCCTCCTCAGCCTCGGCCACCACGCGCCCGAGCCATTGACATCCTCCGCCATTTGTATCTTTTCTCTTCCATTCAGTCCCAGCTTTGGCTCATCTCAGCATCTCCTTATATCACCCAGAGGTTGTTTTCTTCATTGAAGGCCTCATCCCGTCGCCCATCAAGGCCTCCTCAGATTTATTCTCATTTGTTCCTTCATGTAGCTTCCCTCTATCCTTCAGCTGATCTCGTCATCCCAGAAACTTTGTAGAGTATCCACCCCTCCAGCCTTGCCCCGTCGCTGCCGTAACCCTAACTGTGGAGAGGCCCTTTTTTTTGCATCAGATTTTAATTGCGTATGCAGCTATCTAGCAACGACACATTATCAGAGAAAAGGTACGTAATAGATGACTCTATTTACAAGAAGAGCACTCATGCCTCGGATTTCATTTGCAGGTACCACTGCGAAGTTATGGCGGCTTTTTCTTCACCCCAAGTCAACCCTCATCCGTGAACCCCCACCCAGGGGACCGTCTCAAACCCTGAGTTATCCAGACATGCCTCTGTCATCCATCAACTTTTCTACGCGCGAAATGTAATCTGAGATGTCTCCTTCCCAAGTGGAGTAGGTGCTCAGGCTTCTCAAACTATACCAGAGAACACCACCAGGAGGCGGACCACAACACCTTCCATTGCTTGCTTGTGTTTATAGTGTCAGCTGCACTCTCGCAAGCGAAATCTTGGCGCGCACAAAGCCCAATTCGTTAAAATCTTGCCACAATTTAGAATTTCACGCCCTTCGAGATTGTATCCTTCCTTTGCATCATGTTGTGAACTTGTCCTGATCCCTCTCACATCCATCTCAAAGAACTGTCTCCCAGATTTGTGCTCCACGCTTTGCTTCCTCCGTCGGGTGTAAATATCGGCGTGGGCGTGTATTTGGTGGTCAACTGAGGCCAGAGAATATTGAAGAGAGGTGTGGTCATTGGAATGAGGATGTACTCGGTCGTACTTGTAGTCTCGATGAGGCTTAGGTATGAATCGGACTCTTCGGGAGTGAAGATTTGACGTGGTGGAGTAGTTTGAATCATTGTCTCGTGGGCAAACTTCTTTGATATTGCGAAATTTGACTGAACTCGGCTCTGGAAGAATATTTCACTCCCAGGTTCGTAGGGGACACCGCGTACAGATCTTCAGTCTTGCCTTCCCCCTTTATTTGGGTGGTTGGGTTCCTCAGCTACTAGAGTGGTCATGTCATTGTCTACAGCCTTACAGAACTCAAGTATAAGACTAAGGAATCACTATGTTTGGGGAATAAACTGATTTGAGGCTGAAGGATGTGGGGGATCCTTACGCCCTATATGCTGATGAACAGGACCCACACACGCCTCTGCTCGGACTTAGAAGAATAGGGGAATTAGGCCGGGCTTGAGTAACGTCCTCCTCACTTCGATGAGGATTCTCAATCGCTTTCGCGGTCTGTATCGTCTTCATCTCTCAACACATTCCCCTATTACCACTATCATGAAGCTAACCATGATTAGATCAGATGGCAGGTTCGGAGCCCTACTCGTCACCCACCCTTGATCATGGAGGAAAAGCCATCTGGTGAGTTTCCGGAGCGTACCTAGCACCCGATACGGAGATGGCGGATTGAATCAAGTCGACCTCGACTGTTACAAAGAAGGGAGATATAGATGAATATGCGCACCTCATGTGGTCCCGGTGTCTAGGCCTCGCCTGGCTGGGGCTGCAGGTTTTTTGAGACTTTTTCCCGCGCACGCAGTTTCCATTGCTACCATTTTTATTTTTTTGGGCAGAAGGTTCCGTGGAAAAGGTGGCCGAATTCCACGGGTAAATACTGAGCTGAATGGCTATTCATCATGGGCAATATATCAGTGATCTTTCAAGGAACATAAGAGGATAGTAACACTGTACGAGGTGTGACCTGGGCCAGAAAGGAGCCAATGTGTTGGAGTGTAATAAAATCAAGTAGCACATTAATACCATAACTTCCAACTAACTTCATCTATACCGCCATGCTGCTGTGTAGAGCGTTGTTCACGGCGTCAGAGATTCAGTCAATATGTTGCTCCTAGCTATAAGGTCCGTGCGTCAAAGAAGCTCCGTCAGCTTCTCAACCTCACCCCAATGACGCTGCGAAAACATTAATGTGCGATCAGACAAGATGCTCATGCAACGAGGAGAACCTTTCAGAACTATTATATTGGCTTTTGCTTATATCTCAGTAATGTTGTTTCTAGTGGCTTTACTTGTCCAACAACCCGGACCAATCACAGCACTATTATCAGTAAAGAGTTCGGAGTTTCCAATATCTGATACTCCCTCACAGGAAGATAATATCATACCTAATGCCTCATCGGTTATTACTAGTATTCCTCAGTACTTTCAGACTACACCTGAACTATGGGCTGGCCCAACAGCTACGGGAATGGCGCCTTTTCTAGCTCAAACGAATCCAGTGTCATTTACAGGAACTGCTACATTTGTTCCAAACACACCTCTAGAAACTGCTTACCCTATAGCAGGTGCCCAACAAAACCAAAACGTATTTCAGCTCATGGGACATCTTTCCCCCTACTTTCCAAATATAAACGGGTTTGGGGTACATGAGTATCCTCTACCACTAGGTGCTAGAATAACTCAAGCTCAGGTGAGTCTTAGATAATGAATTATCTCATTGTAAGAAGACTCAATCTCCAAAGATGCTATCACGCCATGGATCAAGATATCCAACTTCGAGTGACCTTGTCAATAACTTTGCACAAAAACTTGCGAACAAGACAATCGGATTCAAAGCAAATGGAGCGCTTCAGTTCTTAAATAATTGGAAATTTAATCTTGGCTCAAATATTTTGGTACCTCGAGGCCGGCAAGAATTGTTTGAAAGTGGAATATTACACTATTACCAATATGGCCAACTCTACAATCCAAACAGCAAAATAATTGCAAGGACGACCACTCAAGATCGCATGTTGAAGGTTCGTCTGCTATTTAAGTTTAATCTACAATTTTCTTGACGAATAAAATAGAGTGCAGAATACTTCCTGGCAGGTTTTTTTGGTCTAGAATGGACACAAAATGCTACCATTGAGGTCATAATTGAAGCCAATGGCTACAACAACTCGCTTGCTGGAAGTGAAAGCTGTCACAATGCGAAAAATTTTCGAAACGATGGTGGTAAGAACGCGTCTAGCGTATGGGTAGGTAACTATCTCCAAAATGCGACTTCAAGGTTTCAATCAATGCTTGAAGGCATCGACTGGAATGTCACGGATACTTTTGCGGCTCAGACCTTATGTCCATATGAGACGGTAAATCACCTTGTTGAACAGCCACGCGTCTAGCTTACCATATCATTAGGTTGCCTTCGGCTATTCTGCATTCTGTGATTTATTTACTTATGAAGAATGGGAAGGTTTTGAATATGCGCAGGATCTTTACTTTGCGGGCTCATCCTCTTTTCAATCTCCAACTGGTCGTGCAGTTGGATTAGGGTATGTGCAAGAAACCATCGCTCGCCTCCAGAACCACACTCTTGGCTATTCTGGATCCCAAATCAACGTGACACTGGATAACAACACAGATACTTTTCCACTAGACCAGTCATTATACTTTGACTTTAGTCACGATACTAATATGATGAGTATTCTAACATCGTTTGGATTTCGCCAATTTAATGAACTATTACCCCTTGACCACCATCCTGGTGCACATAATCTTACGGCAAGCCACTTAGAACCTTTTGCTGCTCGACTCGATATAGAGATCATTAAGACCCCGTTCCCACTCTCGGCACAACGAATTTACAACGAGTCTGGCAATGAAACCACTTACGTACACTTTTTGTTAAACCAGAGGACTCTACCACTAGGAGTCAACTTTCCAGACTGTGGAATTAATAGGCTTGACGGTTGGTGCGAGCTAGAGACATTCCTCAAGGTGCAAGAGGATACAATGAAATTTGTCGAATTCGAATATGCTTGTAACGGAGAATACGAAGCACCAGCCTGGGGAGAAATAACTGATGGGGTACCGAAAAATTGATGAATAATGACCATGAAATATGAAATTTTGGAATTAATCAAATCATAATTTTTAGCAACATGCTAAAACCTCATCATATTCCCAAAGCAAATCAGAATGTGAGACAGCACAGTGCTGATGGTATCTTGCCTCAAGCCAGTACAATACGGATAAATATTACAACAAGATTGTAGACATAAATTTAAACATCATATTCCAAGAAAGCCTACCCCTGAACCCCTCGTTCAGAAAGACATTTTCTTTCTTTCGATGTGTGAAAAGTAGATTTTCCTAGAATTCCACCCGCAGCTAACCCTGTTTTGTTTTTCCTTGATTTCTTATGGAGACAGCCTTCTGAGTCAAGACCAATACTCGTATCAACTTCCATTGCACGTTTTTCTAAGTCTACGAGTCCCAGAGATTTACATGCCTGGGAATAACACTTAGAAGACGTTACCTCCCTATAGACTGAGTGTTTACCGGGTATCAAGTGGTTTAGCAGATACTTGGTGTTGCCAAATCGGTTTTCTAGCTGTAGGCAAATTTTCATATATTGAGCTACTACTTCTTTCCAGGATGCTAGCCCACCATCAGCTTCGGATCTAAAGCAACTTGAATTAGATTCTGCTGCTGTCGCTATCATAGCACCGTCAACCCCATACTCAGCCATGAGTTGCTCTGCATGTTTCCTATCAGCGACATCTCCATTCATGAGACAAGCAACACCGCTTTGACGGCAAATTAGTGCGATATTCTTTAATTGTTCCCGAATAGCCCGCTCGCGGGGTCTCATGGGGGTAGTACGACAGTGTATTGTTAACCCCGTAATCCCTGTGGCGCACAATTTTTGCACAAGAGATTCAGTCATTTCTGGTGTTTCTAGGAGACGAATTTTGACACTTATCCCGATCTCAAATTCAGATGTTATTTCTTTGACCAATGCTTCGAGAATAGCGCAGAGTTTATCTGGCGTTTGCAAAAGCGCTGCACCCATGCCACCGCTGGTACTGAATGGCTTTGGGCAACCTGCATTCACATCGATTCCTGCTACATCTCTTGCAACTATTCTTGCGGCTTGGACTGCTCTCGTAGGATCCGACGTACCAATTTGAAAGATGAGTCGGTTTCCTTCTCTTTCCGGATGAAGTCGATAGATGAGAGATTCTTTCTGGTCTGTGCGAGGGTCTTTGGAACCATTTGAGGGGAGACGGGTAAAGTCAATCGTTTGGAGTGCAGTGTTCACCTTGCGAGTTGTCCCGATCATTGATCTATCTACAGTCTCGGGACCTGATAGATAAGTTAGCTCATTTAAGTAAACTCAGCCAGATTCTCTTAACTTGCCCCAGACAAGATCTGCACCGTAATAGAGTGCCAAAAGACGAGAAGGAAGCTCCCCTGATCGTACCATAGGAGCGAGTACCACTTTGCCCCGGTAATCCACGCCATTCCGCGGGATGGCCACTTTCTTTGGAATCGCAGTCATAGTACCTGGTCCAAATCGTAGCATATCATGAGGAATTGACGCCACTGACAAGCCTCTGATAAAAACTGTCCGGCCTATAATATGTGCCTGCAGGGAAATATTCGACCTCCCCACTTGTAACGAACAAATAATACATCACGTGATAAATTGTAAAACCAGAAATCGCTCTTCAGCATTAAATAATGGTTAGTACGAATACCGCCACCAACAGCAGAGTACTAGAACACAACCTTCGATTTTCATCATAAAAATATGTCATTTAAGGCGTGTCCAGCACTTCGGACCATCAGGACTATCTGTTAAGAGAAGGATACTATCCGCATTCAGTAAAGTCAGCCAGACTACAAGGGGAACCGACAACAGGCACGCCAAGAATCGAAAGCTAGACATTTCAGAATAGACTAGAATTTTTGGCATGGAAAATGCTAAATTTAAACAAAAAGATGCCGATAAGTTGGCAGCGTTCCAGGAGTGGAAAGGCTCATGGACACGTCAATGGAAGGATAAACGCTCATGTCATCGAGCTTCAGCAAATCCTGACCATCGAAAAGCCGCAATTCTCGTCATAGATAAGATAACGGGTGGAAAAAAGATTACATATAGAAGCACACCCTTAAATATCTACAGGAGCTTTAGTAGGGTCTAAAGCAGTATTGCAGTTCAGATAATAAGTGAGCACATCGTTCTTAATTCTTATCTGTATTAAAAGAAAGTCCCTGGATTGGTTAATCCAAAATACAAGTGCGGATATCCATCTCAAGATGCCAGACATGTGGTCTTGTCATATCCTCAGTGGGCAAGGGGAAGAGTAGAGGTGCTTCGACAGGCAAAAGATAAGTCCTTTGCGTCAAAGATGGACAGCCCAGATGGTTTGAATAGAATCACAAAGTAGATCCTGGCGAAAGGCTGATTTGAAAAGTGCCAGCTGGCAGGAGAAGTAGAGATTTCAATGGACGAAAGGATGAAAAGATATGGACAAGAATAGGACGGAATTCAAAATGGATGAACCAAGCAAACGCACTTACTATAGGAAACCTCAGAAAAACAATAGGCACGAGACAGACAGTTTTAGGGGGTTTTAACCAAACTAGATTTCCTCCTGTGTAAATATTATAGCTAGATGTTCCTGAACGGGCTAAATGAAATGAAATCATATGTTGTGTGCGTTTATTTGTCTAGTGTTAAGGAAATAATGATCCCTCAATCATTGAGGTTGTAGGGCGCATTGATTCAAGAAACTACTGAAGTGAAACTAAGTACAGAATTTGCTGTCGCTTTTATATCAATAACGTGGCCCACTTGTAGCCCCAATTATTCTAAATTCCAACAAATTCTTTATCTTTTCGTATTTAGTCTATAACTATATAATGAAATGCAGGCTCTCTCTGCCTACAGGCCAAGGACGCCTATCTTGTAGTAGATCCCCTCCCATGCCTCCCATATAGTTTCCCCCAGATGATGTACCGAAGGCTGACCTATTGTGGTTATGAGCTATGCGGAAGTTATATTGCGGAGTGATGAGGAGTGGATGATATTATATTTAGTGGGTGACAGTGAATAGACTCATACAATATTATGCTGTAGGTACATAGACAGAAAGTATAAGACTAAACCTGTATCCATTTATGTTGGGTACATCTATGAAACTATATACATGCTCGCCTAGCCAGTACATTAGTGATGTATGTTGTGGCCTTGAGCCACAGGCGATGCCCTAGCCTCAAGTACGTCTTTCTCTCGTATCATAACATGAAAACCTGCCGGTGGTGTACTCTGCCAACCTAAGTGTGAAATATTCTCCTAGATCCAAGATTCAGTCATGACACAGGGTGTATTCAAGAGCTTTCGTCGAGATGACGATCAGGACAGATTTCACGATTGCACAACGTAATGAATTCAATCACCTACACCTCAGATATGAACCGCAGATAAGACAAAACCTGTCTGTTGTTAATATTCAAATAATTGATAATTCTCACTTCCTCAACTTTTCCTGGAATATCTTTTTCATCTAAACTCATCTAGCTACCCTTTCCATAATTATCTCATCACTGACCGAAGCATTCAAAAATCCCAAAGTCATGTTCTTCATCTAAGATTCAAGTAGGAATTCAACGCCTCGTAATTGTTGTGCGCAGTGAAGGTACGGTCGAGGTACCGGCCTTATCTTCATTCAACCGCGGCTCAGGGCGCCAACAAGTCGACCTGCAACGAATTGCCATTGATAAAATAAGCACGATATTTTGCAGGCAGGTATACTAGAGCATTCGACAAAGGCTGAGGTATCAGTGCCTCGGTTTTGAGCTTTTCGACACATATTCGGCCCCCACAGTATGGGGTACGGCAGCGACAGAGCAAGCCTGGAAGAGTGGAAAGTTTAAAAGATTTTCTAAGATGGCGAATTTTTTTTTTAAATCATTTATGTTGAAAGTCATGTGATAAATCTGTAATTGTATCACGTGTCTCGCTTAGAATTCCACACTTTCCGTAATTGTGAAGTGTGTAGATAATTGTAAGAACAAGAAAACAAGCACCAATAGTTGTAGTTATAATACACAAAATAAATTATATATATATTTATATTATAAGGAATCTGATTTCGAGAGCAAGTATCCACATGCAGCTGAATATATAGCTGGTATGCAGTATACTCTTAACTCCACTGTCGCATAAATTACAACAGGTTATGAGCCTGGTAGCAAAAGCTAATAGGTCAAAAGATTTCTTAACCTCAACCTAAATTAATTATACGAAAAGGTGCAATGTCTGTCCAAGATTTCGAAAGTTCCAAGAAGGCTCCAAAGATTGAGGAGATGCTTACGTCAAGCAATAAGCCTGTGTGGAGTCAACCCAAGACCTCCTCAAATGCTATGGGAAATGTCGGTACACTCCAGTTGCCTCTTTATTTCAAGTTGAAGGGAGAGGAAAATTACGAGCAATGGAAGAACAATATGGAGAACATTGCTCTAGCCAACAACTTGGAGGACTACATATGTGATGAAGTGGAAGAACCCCCACATGTGTCCATCAAAGAAAGATTTTCGAACAAGGAGGCATTTGAAATGAGAAAGCAGTGGCTCGCTGGAGATGCTAGGATGAAACTAGCCATTATGATCATCTCAGCCCCAAATATTCACGGCATGATTGATGGCAAGACTTCAGCTCTCCAAATGTGGACAAATCTGCAAGAACGGTTTGAGGGAAAAGGTTGGAATCTAGAGTATTGAGCCATAATTGATTGGTCGAATATAAGATTTGAAGACTTCATCGACCTCAACCACTATGTTTCTGAGCTCACCAAAAGGGCCGAAAAGATCTCCTCACTCTCTGATTCTATACCAGAGAGATGGAATGGAATGTTCTTTATCGCCGGAGTGGCTAGAAAGTTTTCAGTTTGGGCCGAGAGACAGAGATCCCAGGCTCGAAACACCGCCGTAGCTCCCTCACTCGACTATTTAATTGCTGATCTCCTAGATGAGGCACGCAATTTCGAGACATGCTCCTCTAGCACTATTATGATGGCGAAGGGAAGAGGGAAGGCTAATGAAGGCGGCAATAAATTCAATTGCCTATATTGCAAGAATGGCAAGTGCTATGAGCACAATAAATCGCTTCATCAGGATTGGGAGGCTAAAAATGGGAAAAAATGGCTTACACGTCAAAATTATCTGAACCAGAAAAATACCGACAAGCTTAAGAGACGCAACGCAAATGGCAAAGGAAAGTCTAAAGAAATCCAAGATGATGATACAGATAACAATTCGACTTCAAACTTTGGAATACCCGCATTTAGCGCCTTTAGCCACGTCGCGCTTAGCAGTTGATCGGATGGTCAGAACCCCTCCTCCACCTACGCAATACGAAAAACTCATTGAAACGACCGTTGGCTTAACAACACCGGGTCAGATGAGCATATAGCCAACTCTCTGGATAGATTCACTCACTATGAGGAGGAGGTTGGCTTGAGGCCAATAAAATGTGGCGGAGGAAGCGTCACACCTAAAGGTCATGGAACAGTGCAACTGATTTTTGCGTTGGAAGGAGGAAGACATCAAGTTATAGAATTGAAAAAATGTCTTTACGTCCCAGGCTTTCCCACTAATCTAGTCAGTGGAAAGAAATTACTCCGAGCAGGCTGCACAATCCATGATGGATATGTGAAGACGTCAAAAGGGTCCATTCTATTATATACTGATGCACGCTGTCTTATAAAAGAAGCAGTTGACAAGTACGCGAACGTTGCGTACCCAGCGGGGTTTTCAGATATAAAACCCGATATTAAGCTAATGCATTATCGCCTCGGACACATTAGTATTGAAAATGTCAGAAAGACTAGTCAGCTCACCCATGGAATAAAGTACGCGGACAGCATGGACAAGTCTAATGTCCGTCCTGGTGAGTTGTGTGAGGCATGTGAATTGAGTAAGCCAATTCGTTGTGTCAGCAAAGAGACTAGAGCCAAGCCTAAGAAAATCTTTGATGCAGTGGGTATTGACGTGATAAAAGTGATTCCTGAAGGAATTATGAATCAAAATTATGCCACCATTTTTACTGATTTAGCCACCAACATGAGATGGGTTATAACTCATCCAGAGAAGAGAGGAGCCTTCGAAAATGTCAAGAACTTTGCTGTTGAAACTATTGTAATTTGTTTGCTAGACCTGGCGGTGTAGCTTATCACAGTTAGAGAATGTATTCTAGAATGCAGTGGTGGCTCGTTACAGATGCAATTGCAACAATCCAGTTGAGGGTTGTATGAAAGTTTGGCACTTCTATGGGTCTCAATTGTGTGGAGGTTGATTTAATTATTGATGATAATTGCTTGTTATGTCTATCTACAGAGAATGTGCTACAGTTCTACATGTGCCTGTAATTGCTTAGATTTGGCTAGTGGGCTGTCCCCTCTTTTACTTCGCTCCCGTGTTCCATCACATGAGATGTAATAACTGCTCACCACAAAGTC